CATGATTTGCACCATGATCATTGCCCATTTATAGGGGTTCATTCCAACACTTTTGCATTCAATATACAAACATGTGTCAACTTCATTAAGCCATTCAGATTGTTATGTCATCTTTTCCTAGCCGTTCACTCTTAAAAATACAGTGCTTCATCTTTTTGGTTTAAGTGAACCCTGCATGGCTTATGCGATTACCACACACTGGCATTCCAGCAGCACTTAGGCCCCAGGGTGGGGAATGCGGGTCAAGGTGGTGTTGCAAGTCTTCGAGTAGACATCCACCAAAGCCTTGATATCAAAGATATGGTTCGGGTCATGGTTGTGATGGCCGCTGCCACACCTGCTTTACCAATGGAGCAACGATTATGATGGTCACTTGAGAACCTGTGGATCACGGGACTCAAGCCCAGCATGACATCAGTTGTATGTTGTCAAGTGGGAGGAGCTGTCAGGAGCCATGAAGCAGCTGACAGGTGTTGTTTCACAGGTTCCTTTCAAGACAATGAGCAGCTCTGAGGAAGTGTCGTGGATCTCGTGGTTCTGCGGACTGCGAGGGAAATGAGTTCTTCTGCGAGGTAGATGAGGACTACATCCAGGACAAGTTCAACCTGACAGGACTGAACGAGCAGGTGCCGCATTATCGGCAGGCGCTCGATATGATCCTTGACCTGGAGCCAGGTAAGTCTCAGATGCACACTTCTCATGGGGAGGCACGTGCTTAGCCTACTCCAGTTTTCACCAATCTGCTGACACAATGGAACCATGATGCCAAGCAGTAGTGTGGGCAGCTAAAAATGAGGTGATTTCGTTGACCATACACTACTTCACCTACATGTTTAAAAATCTTCCCTACTTACAATTTGGAGGAAGGTGGTTGATGCGTGGTGTCTCCATGCAGCACAAGGTAATGTGAATAAGGCACCCAGCAATGTTGTCATTAATTTAATCAGTGATGTCGGAAGGCTTATTTAGGCATGTTGCTAAAATGCTCTGTTTGCAACAGCCTTGTGATGAGAGTGTATCGATCCAGGTGTTACCTGAATTTGACCTTCCGCCTGCATGCGTGCCATCGCCAAATCAGCTGAGTCGGATGCAGTATGGTCCGACGTTCCGCAATCTATTGTGTAGGGCTGCCAGGATGTAAATGTAAATTCATGTTGCGGCACCTCCGTTTCCCCGGCGGCCCCCGCGCCGACGTTTGGGCCGCTGCTGGCCGCTGGTGACATCCCCGCCACCCGAGAGGCCAACAACGGACAGCGGCCGAATCCCGGCTGCAGCGCCGTGCATTCGGGAGGCTGGACACCGCGCCCGCTCAAAGGACCACGGACTTGACCGCCACGCTTCTGACGCATCGTTGCGGGATTGTCCGGTGTCGTGGCCAGGTGACCGTACTGTGTGCCGATGGCGGGTGCGGCGCGAGCCTCGTGGTGCGGACTGGAAGTGGACGTGACCGACCACCCCGGGCGGTGTCGCCTGCAGTCGGATCTGACGCTCCTCTCCCGTCGCAGATGACGAGCTGGACGAGAACCCGAACCAGTCGGACCTGATCGAGCAGGCGGCCGAGATGCTGTACGGCTTGATCCACGCGCGCTACATCCTCACCAACCGCGGCATCGCCCAGATGATCGAGAAGTACCAGTCTGGCGAGTTCGGCTACTGCCCGCGCGTCTACTGCGAGAACCAGCCCATGCTGCCCATCGGTGAGAGGGCGGCGCCGGCGACGGCGGCAGGTCCGCCTCCTCTGGTGCGCCGATGCGCTCGGCTGGATCCACTGTCACCGATGGCTGTAGTCTGTTGGTCGATTTATGCTGGTGCCCTTTGACTTATGCGGGAAGGAGAGACTCTGACGCCACCGACCTCTTTTGGCATCTGTGGTATGACAGTATGTGGCAACAGCCTTATGCAACCTTATGAAATCTTGAACAAATTCGTGTGTTTGGCCTCTGGCAAGGCGTCATGCGATGTACTTCTTGGCCGCCATTAGTGCATGCATACGCTTTCCATGATGACGGTTCGGCTCATGCGAACCTTTCGGCCGGCAGGCCTCTCTGACGTGCCTGGCGAGGCCATGGTGAAGCTCTACTGCCCCAAATGCATGGACGTCTACACGCCCAAGTCGTCGCGGCATCACCATATTGATGGCGCCTACTTCGGCACTGGCTTCCCGCACATGCTGTTCATGGTGCACCCCGAGTACCGGTCGAAGAAGCCGGCCAGCCAGTTCGTGCCCAGGTTCGTCCACCGGGCCACCGGCCTTTCCACACCGCTGCAGCAGCGGCTCGTGATGCTTGGACGCCAATATCCTTCTCGTCTTTCGCTATATTAACATGGCAATGCTTGTGGTGAAGTGAAATGAGCACGCTAACTCAGCTATTGTGTGAGCTTAAGTATAATTCGTGCACGCCCTTCGGATAAGGAGGAGCGCGAACATCGTTGCGCCGTATGACGTGGTCTTCCCGCCGCTCCCATCTTGAGAATCCGTGCGGCTTCCGCGGAAGCTGACACCCTACCTGGCTTGTACGTTCCTGGAATTCCTCGGCCTGTGTACTGTCGTACACAGAGGCAGCATTGATGTGTGGACTCATGAGTTTAAGTAGCTGGAATAGCGGGTTGAACGTCACATGCATGCACTGTTGTGTTGGTACTAGGCAATCTGCTTCTCTGGACTGGATCCACTGCTGTGAACACCTGATTTTATAACTGTGCCTTAGTTTAGGCCTTCAGCGTCTGAATATACTTTCGGCAAAATCTCACTCCCGTAGACGACAGCCTGTGTGTAATATGTATGCCGCCGCCACTCCACACCACTGACGTGTTGCCCGCGTCAGGCTGTACGGCTTCAAGATCCACTCGGTGGCGTACATGATCCAGCAGCAGGCTGCCTCGAACTACAAGGCAGCCGCTGCGCGCCATGAACTACAACAACGGCAAGCGGCAGTAGCCGGCCGACGGTCGGGTCTCAGCGAGGCGCGGCGTGGGTCCCACGCCGCTGTCGCCTGTGCCCTGGTGTCGCGCGCGGGCTTGGTCCGCCTGCCGCCGCCGGTCCGCCGGCACCTGCGCACGCAGACCGGGCGTGTGGCTCCGGGCGGCCGCGTGGATTCGAAGCCAGGGCGCCGCTGTGTGGTGGTGATGCTCCCCGAGGATGTGGGCTGGGTCCGCGTTTGGCGCATGCGCAGGCGCGGCTGTGGGGTCGTGACATTACCCCGTTATAGTGTAATTCTTCATGCATGGACGCTGGCGTGACCTTGTGAGACGGCGGAGTTTGGTCGGTCTGGCTCCGTGCGAATGCTGTGAGTGCTGCGCCGGCTGCTTGTGTTTCTGCTGGTCCCGACAGACGCTTTGCAATGCCTCCGTCGTGTCGTCACGGAGTGGGTCCCGTCCCAAAGCGTATGGACTGGCTGAGGTCGGCCTCGCTGAGCAGGACGGGCGGCGGTCTTCCCTGACGGGTATGTTGTCTCGCGCCGCGAGGTGCCGGCTTGCTTTCAGCAGCCCCCGCGGAGCGAGGACAGGTCACTGCGCGTGACGTCGGCAGTGGCTCGCCGCGGACGGGGCAGGCGGCTTTCGTCTGGCCGACCCTGGACGGCGGGCCGGGCCGACGCTGGCCCGCCGGGGGCCGTGACCGGGCTGGAGACGTCCGAGGTGCAGTCGTCGCCGCCTTCAGCGGGCCGCCGGGTCCGCCGCAGCGGAGCGGTGACGGTGCTGGCGGGTGCCGAGGCGCCTGCTGTTTGACGTGTCGATTGCGTTCTGACGTTAAAGTGCTGTGTTGCAAAGTGTTCATATCGACCCTTCTGACGTAACCTTGTGCAGAATACATGAGCTGCGGTGTTCGGAACAGGACCCGCGTGTAAATGTGGCCGTGAAATCGGAACGGCTTGCGCCAGTCAGTGTTACAGCAGGTCGACAATGACCGATATCGTGGCCCCGCTGCAAGCAATTGTCATGGTCAACACTGGCTTGGCGTTGGGAACTAGTGTTGCAAATAACGTTCGGGACCAGGTCAACCACGCGATCGTGCAGTGCGCAGGATACATACCGCTCGTTTCCAATAGATGCGAAAAACGTGCTAGCCGGCGTATTTCGCAAGGAGTGTAAGCCGTTGTTTGAAACTGGATGATCTCGGTCAGCGAGCGGCGGCTCAGCTTTGCGTGGCTATCGCAATGTTCAGGGTTGACGTCGCTCGAACGCCCTGCGCTCATCCATCAGCTCGGGCGGCCCATATGGCCATCATTATTTTCATCACCTACCGCTGTCATCTTGCCAGCATCGCTATCATTATCCCAACACCGCTGCGTCGGCGTCCGGCGGTAAGATAAACGGAGATATTTTCACAAAGAAAGAATAGTAATAGCCTTGTTCCTTGTAGAAACAACAGGACAATGTAGAGATAGATGTGTTGATATTTCGACAACAGGCCTTTATCAAAACAAACGACAGTTATGAACTGTTATTCGTTATATCGTTATTCTTTATACGGATAACGGATATTAACCGTTATTCGCTTCGACAAAGGTATGTTGCCGACATATCAACGCAACCTATCTGCCCATTCACTTGGTTACTCTACGGGGAATAAGATTATTACTACTCTCAATATGCAATAGCAGAAGACTTTTGCTATTGTTTCGGTAAAGGCATGTCGAAGTATCAACCCAACTATATCTCCAGCTTCCTGATTTTTCTCCGAGGGAATAAAGCTATTAATACTGTCTTATCTATGTGAGTAATGGCCCTCTCTAGTGCACTGAATAACTTACGAAATATTGCCATTCTGGGCGGACATGATTTTCTCTGCACGTGACCAGAAAAAATCAAATGGAATTCAGACAGCCATTAGAGGAGAGACGGATGATTTGTCGCCTCACCCACCTTGAGTTGATGCACTAAAAGAACAGTCCATGAGCCTGGTTTTCGTCTTTTACACATTTTCTCGTATTACTGGTCACAAATCAACGCAGTCATCTCATTAGCGGTGCCTCGATCCGGCTGTGAGGTCCGCCGCCATGATGTCGTCGGACAGCGACGACTCTGACAGCGAGGCGGTGGGCCTGCGTCTGCGCCTGAGCACCTCGGGCCCGCTGCGGGCCAGCGAATCACTTGAGTCACTGGTAGCCGGCCGACAACCAGCCGGCTACTTCCACCCAGCTACCCTGCTGCCGGCACTCAGCGACGAGCAAAATACCTTCATGGCGCTGGTCGGCGACGGCGACACGGAGGCGGTGGAGGCGTTCCTGGCCGCCGCACCGGGCTTCGACGTGAGCTGCGCCGCGTTCGACGGCGCAACGGCTCTTCACGTGGCTGTGGAGCGCGGCGACGCGGCCATGGTGGCGCTGCTGCTGGGCCGGCCCGAGGTGCGGTTGGCCGACTGTGCGCTGTACGCTGTGGCCAGCGGCGACACGGATCTGGCTGAGCTACTACTGTCGAGGTTGCCGGCCGACCGTGAGACCCGTGGCTACCTGGACAGCGCGGCCTACACGCCCGACATCACGCCGCTGACGCTGGCCGCACACAACGACGACTACGAGATGATCCAGCTGCTGGTGTCGCGCGGCCACCGGCTGCACCCGCCGCACGCGCCCACCTGTTTCTGCGCTGCCGTCTGCTTCAGCAAGCTCAACGGCGAGGACCTGGCGCACTCGCTGAAGCGGTTGAACACGTACCGCGCGCTGGCCTCGCCCGCCTATATCTGCCAGACGTCGCCTGATCCCATTTACACGTGCTTCACGCTGGCCGAGGAACTGCGGACGTGCGCCGAGCATGAGATGGAGTTCCATACGTTGTATTCCGAGCTGTCGGCGCAGGTGCGCCAGTTCGCCGTGAAGCTGATCGACTATTGCCGCACCACGGAGGAGCTGGAGCTGATCGTCACACAACGCAGGGGCTGCTACGAGGGCTCACGCCCTTTCCGGTACCCCCGCATCCTGATGGCTGTGGACTTGGGCCAGAAGGAGTTTGTCGCCCACCCCAAGGTGCAGCAGGTGTTCACCAACCTGTGGCTGGGTCGGCGGCAACGTTGGCGACACCACTCGCTCGCGAAGAAGGTCGCCATCTTTGTTTTTCAGCTGTTGTTGCTGCCGCTCACGTCCGTGTTCTTCATCCTGGCGCCGCGCTCCAAACTGAACACCTACTGGGACTCTCCAATCAACAAGTGGCTCAACTGGATGGCCTCCTACGTAAGACACAGTTCGCTGGTGCATACCGTATTCAGCGGCATCCCTTCGTGTACGTCCGCGCCCTGAGCCCCTCAATATTTTTCCGAGCCATCCCCAAATGCATGTGAAAGAAAAAGGAATACTGGACCAATGAAACGCAGCAATTTTATCTAACAGCCGGTACGTTAGAAACCTAAACGCATCTCTGTTACCGCGCGCTCGGGTGGGAGTAAATTTGGCCTCCCCGCCAAGAATGTCTACAGAATAACTTGCGAACGCGCGACGTAGTCGCCCCGAACTTTGCCTAATTATAGGCAATTGTGTGCCCGATTTTTTGGTGGAACAACTCATAGGTACTTTGCAAGGTTGCTGACCTGTGGCAAGACAAAATCAGACCATGGCTGTCAGCGAAGGTAATTCCTAGGGAGTCTTTCAGTGTAATGCGGCAACCGAGATAAGTCTAGTAAGCATCTCGCAGGCCCTACTTAAGTGGTATCGCTCGTGCCCGTCCTCCGCAGGTGGTGTTCCTGTTGATGATAGTCGTCTCCGAGATTCTGGACGAGATCAGCCAGGTGCGCGGTCCACCGGACTCGGGCCTCGAGTTCCCCCTGATGCTCTGGGTGATCAGCATCACCTATTCCCACGCCCGCCAATGCTGGCGCAAAGGCTTCAAACGCTTCTTCGGCAGCGCCTGGCATTGGTACGACACCATCATGTTGTGCTTCTTTTATCTGGCGTTCGTGTGCTGGGCCGTGTCCGGCTACGACGTGCGTCACTACAACAACGTCCATCTGCACCGCAAGTTCTGGCACCAGTACGACCCGACTCTGGTCGGCGAGAGCTTCACGGCCGTGGCCAACATCCTGGCCTTCATCAAGCTGCTGTACGTGTTCCAGCTGAGCGCCACGCTCGGTCCCCTGCAGATCTCGCTGGGCAAGATGATCAGTGACGTCGGCCAGTTCCTGGTCTTGTTTGCCGCCGTCGTCGTCTCGTTCTCGTCCGGCATGAACCGGCTGTTTGACTACTACAAGGGCATGGTGCGCAAGCTGGGCAACGGCGATGACGCCGTGCAGATGCACTCGTTTGTGAACCTACGCTCGGCGTTCCGCACCCTCTTCTGGACGCTGTTCGGTCTGTACGACCTGCAGTCGGTCACGGTGGTGATCGAGAACCTGCCCGGCGGCAGCAAGGATCTGCCCATCATCAACAGCCATGGCTTCACTGAGGCCATCGGCTACATCCTGTTCGCGGCCTTCCACGTGCTCTGCGGCATGATCATCATGAACATGCTCATCGCCGTGATGACGTGCACGTTCCACGAGGTGCACGCCTCCGCTGACATCGAGTGGAAGTTCGCGCGCAGCAAGGTCTGGATCACGTTCATCCTCGAACCCTCCATGCCACCGCCCTTCAACCTCATACCGAGCGTGCAGAGCGTGTGGCGGATGTTCAGTTGGCTGGGACACGTGCTGGTGCGCCGGCGCGGCCGCACTCCGCGCTGCGACGCCCGCCGCTGCTGCTACCAGGAGGAGGAGCTGGCCGCCGCCGACAACGTCAACCAGTACCGGCTGCTGGTGGCGGCGCTGGCGCAGCGCTACTTCCGCGACCGGGCCGAGAGCGACGCGCAGGAGGCCGCCACGGCCGCCGAGGTGGACGGCCTGCTGGCCGAGGTGCAGGGCATCAAGGCCGAGGTGCGCGACCAGGCCTGGGGCCGGCAGCGCTCGCCCGCGGCACGCGCCGCCGACGCCGTCAGGACCCAGACGCACCGGCCTGCTGGAGTCGAGCGAGCACAACCTGGCGGCGGCAGTGCGTGCTGATGGGGTGTGAGTGCACCGATGTTTGGTGGGTGATGGTGGAGCGGGTGTTGTTGTTCGAATTGTCTGACCTCGTGAGAGACCAGTGTTTATGCTTTGTCACGCTCTGATACTACCTGCTGGGAACAAACTCAGCACGTGACAGCGTCTCAGTGATATCAGAGTCGAGCTCGTGCATACCTGCTTGATGCAAGAAACATGACTGCAATGATTCGTTTGCACCTGATGAGCATTGTGCGGGAGAAGTGTTATTAAGTATATTCTCCTGAACCGCCTTGCGAAGGCTGCAGCCTTATGCTGTGACTGCCCATCTCTTCACAATGCCGTAAACGCATCAGGTGTCATGGGCGACGGTGGATCTGCCATTCTGGTAGTTACACATAGGGAGTGTGTGTGTTGCACATAGGGGAGTGTGGGGATGGTTCGGCGTCTGAACCATCCAAACTTGTCCGAACCTCGGACACCTTTGAACCGCTCGAACTGTCTGACAAACTACCCAATTCGTTGGCGGCAATAAATGTGCTACAAATCATAGGATATCTTACGTTTGCCACTTATCTGCCACTTACAACGTTGGGGAGATTCCTTGTCTAACAGACACGTGATTCAAAGACAATTGCTCTAACTGCCGCAGTAATGGTGCGGCGGGCTCGGGCAAAGTGAGGTGGGCTGTCTGCGTCCGATGAGTGCTGTTTGGATGTAACTGTGAATAAAGCGAAGCTCCACGTTTAACAGTGCGGTACATGATATCAAGTATGAACGAATCGTCGGAATCTGAAGGACGTCCAATTTCAGGTTGCTGACTACAATGACACTACAAAGTCACTCAAGGAGGCCCCAAAAGAAAGTCAAGACGTTATAAGGGTCTCCGGCTGCTACTCTGTGGAGGGCCGCCATGAGCAAATATGTGGCAGATGCCGAACAATATTAATCTTGCCAGCAGAGTGGTTCTGCAACATGGCAAGCCTGATTATGCTGACAACTTGCAAACTACGACAAAGGTCACGTGACAGCTTTGAGAAACTGGCTTAATGTGTAGTTTCGAAAAGTACACATTAACACTTGGCGTAAGATTCTACTTTCGCTTTGAGAAACTGGCTACAGAATGTGGTTTCCGTCGCCACAAACGGACCCAGAGTCAAATTACCAGGACTCGATGTTCTCTGTTCATCGCAACAAAGCGAGCTCCTGTTTGGCCGAGTCGAAACCGCAGGATTCGAGCTCAGGTCCCAGGGCTCAGACTGGTGGAATGTTGAGCGGGCGGGCTCGGACCCACGTTACATGGAATGAGTGGGTCTGAACTTGTAGTCCGGGTTTTAGCACTCGGACTAAAATGACATGGACAGACTGGACTTGAGACTCGGAATGCGACCGAAGGCACCATAACTCAGACTCGGACCCAGGCTTTCATGCTTAGGTTTTTGTCCCCACCACGCAGCGCGATTCCCTGAAACCGTTGGTTGAGCTAGCTGAACGTAGATGTCGCGCCAAACGTGTTGTTCTCCTGCCCCAGCCGTGTACTGGCGCAACGATGCGTCCTAAATCATATGTACTTTGAGTGCCGCACCAAAGGTTATAGAGGTACAGAATCTGCACCGAATGACTGGTATGTGTTATATATAGAGTACGTTTCTCAACGCTCCACACCTGCACGACCGGCATGTAAAAGTATTTGCTGGGGTTAAACCCACAAAAAATCCGTCCTAATGAACTTATTTTTGCACTGGTTTAAAAAGAATGTTAGCCATTCAGTCATTCACTTTAAAGCGCAGGGCTGTACACTGCACTGAACGATCTACATAATGGCTATCTTCGTTCAAAGCCCCATACAAATGTGGAACACTCCCTTTAAGTTTTTGAATACTTTCCAGGCTGCGCAGTACCACGAAATAGTTCATGCTTTGGGAGCTTTTCACTTTCGTCCCACGAGGGGAAGGCCTCACAGACATCAACAACAGAGTGCAAAGACAACGACAGAGTGCATTGCCTACGAGAAAAAAGCAGAAGAATGCGGCTTTTAAAACCATATGCTCGTGTAGCCACCAGACGGTGTGTGAAGTCTTCGGAGTTATCGTTGTTAAGGTCAAAGGTGAATTATATGGAGAAAAAGACTGGAATAATCTATCAAAGGCTGGCTTTAACTGGCTTCGGTTCAGACCGATCCGTACAGATGTGCGCCATCTTGCTTTGTTGTTGCAATGTACAGTGTGTGCCAGTGTTGGATCGATATGAAAATGTGTAAGAACTATACGTATGCTACACGCATATGCACGATGACAGCTGTTAACTATCATGCGACGTGATGAAGTTCCGCGACATTGTAGTGAAAAGGTATCGGGCTGTGAATGCATTGCATGTTTTTGGGATGGTAAGGGCTTGCGCTAACTTTCTCCCTGGAATGTAAACCGGTCATCTATTTTACTTTCGTTGAGAAGAATGGGTATAAGACAGAAGTATCAGCCTTATTCCTCGGAGAAAACCAGGAGAATGGAGATGTAGTTGAGTTGATATTTCGACAACATGCCTTCATCGAAACAATATCAGAGGTCACTTCTGAAAGCAAAAGCACTTCTGCTGCTATTTCGATAAAGGCATGTTGTCGAAATATCAACCCAACTATATATCCATTCTCCTGGCTTTCCTCCGAGGAATAAAACTAATACTACTGTCTGATCCATGTGAAAATGCTCCCCGCCAGTGCAATGAACACTTACGTAATGAAGAACAGGTGCATTCAATTGCGTGTTTGCTATCAGGGGGATGGGAATGTTTAACTTCTCGTGACTCTTTACGTTCCTCCTAATGTATGCATGAGCCTGTTTTTCATATCGTTTGACCAGGGCTGAGGAGAGAATAAAGGTTATCCTGAAAGCTGCCGTTTAATAAAACAAGCTGATCGAAATCCTATCCTATTACATTAGCCATATCCCAGCCCGGTAATATTTCTAAACGTATAAAATCATTCGACCTGAATTATTTACTCCCTTGGTTACACCTCATTTCTGGCATGTTCAGTAGGTCTTCCGTTTTCTACCTGGGAATTCAGCAGCATTGCAACGTTTCAGTTACTATGCCAGTATTGACATAAGGTTTTGTACCTTGCGGTACACACAGGCTGGGCGTCCCTGGTCACCCTTTCCTGGTTGATGGGTAGGATAAAAATACCGCCGACATGACCATGAAAGAGAGATCGTAGACCATACACCATTGAGGTCTGCAACTTCAAGTTATTATAATATTTAAAAGAAAATGCTTTACACTCAGCTAACGGAAAATTCAGCACCGTGCTCTGAGCTGTTCATGAAATATTTGGGGAAACGGGTCCTCCTCTCGTAGGGCGAGGGTTAAGCGTGATACAATCTTAAGACAACGCACAAGTAGATGAGTATAGAGCCCACAAAGTTACAGGCAGACCATTGCTAATGACACCAATTAAATCGTAGTCATTGCACTGCGGTTCTCTGCTCGTACAGAGCTGTCCGCATCATATCAGGATGCATGTCGTATTATGGCGGAAAGTCAGGACGGCGTCCTGCTTTACCGTCTAAAACCCCGTAACCCTTGCTACTTGCAAGATCATTATCTTACTATGAGTAACCACTTTATGTTGTCTCAGTATGTAGCGTGAAATGGCGTCAAGTTTTGCCCTACACATTGAGTTTTTGACGGGCCTGTGAAGCACCAAACCGGCTATCATAAGTGAAAGTATGTCAGCTGTCGTCGCAGTCCTCCAACTGTCGCCAATAACATAGTGTGAGAGCATCCCACGATCTCAATGTTGACTGATCTTGACGCTGTGATACACCTGCCCACCAGTGCTTTGAAATGTTTCGCAGTGTTTATAAAAACACAAAATATTAGACTGAATTAAATGCCTTTAGTCATCATTAGTCTTTATCAATACTCTGCATGACATGACCGTGAATTGTCTCAACTCGTCTTTGCTTGCTCGCCGCCACCTCACGTTTTCTGTCAAATAGTTCAAGAGACACTCATCTCTCTAAAACTTGCGCTGGAGCCGTGCAGCGTGATTAAACCATACGAAGGTATCATAAACTGTATCACGACCAATTGTGACCTTCATCAACTGAAGCGAAAACGTCACGTCTCAAGCCCCTTTCCATCGGCAACGTCGGGGAAGAGACTGTTTTACGTCCAACATAAACTGTTGAAACTGTTGGCTACGCCGAGCTCAGCGACACGTTATTGTCGTGTTGTTCCGTACTTAACCGCGGTCACCAAGAAAAGGCGGTGCTCAGTTGGTACTGGAAGTAAAGGAAGCGGAAAGTCGGCACTGAAGTTCCGTCCTTCTTGGAAGTGGTGACAGGTGTAAGGTGCGACGCCTGTCACACCCCGTCGGCCGGTCGATCAACGCCTGCCCACGTTTGACCTTTGACCTCCGTGCCCAGCGAGAGCTGCTCCTGGCAGCTGACACCCACGGGGCTGGTGACCCGGACGGACCTTCAGCTCGTGACGCTGTCTGTCGTCGATCTGACTTATCATTGTGAGACATTGCGCCAACGAAACGCAGAAACAGCAGCAGGGGTTCATACACAGTGGCAGTGCTCTGGGAATCGACTCCGCGTCTGGGCCACGGCAGAGCTCTTCTCTAGCGACCTTTCACTTAGTGCGGCGGAACCACGCCACCTCACCTGGCAGGTGCGGTGCAGGGACACTGAGCCACTGTCACAGGGACACTGAGCCACCGTCACGGCGGCATGCAGGGACACTGAGCCACCGTCACAGCGGCATGTAGGAACACTGAGCCACTGTCGCGGCGGCATGTAGGAACACTGAGCCACTGTCACGGCAGCATGAAGGAACACTGAGCCACTGTCACGGCAGCATGAGGGAACACTGAGCTACTGTCACGGCAGCATGAAGGAACACTGAGCTACTGTCACGGCAGCATGAAGGAACACTGAGCTACTGTC